GGGGGGGGGAAAAAAAGTTATGTTTATGCTGCAAGAAAGGAAAGGGAAATCGAAGCTGGCTTGGAAATCTTCAACAGTTTCTCACAGGTTACCCTGTGACTCTAGCTCTAGGCCACCCAGCTGCATCCACTGAACATACATGGATGCCAAGGAAGTGGTTTTCCTCCACCTCCTTTCCACTGAAATGACTGTTTTGTGATTTAGTCAGAACAAAACATAGAGGCAGATACAGCAAATCAGCACATCATACAATGCAGAAGCACCAGAAAATTTAGAGATGCATGAGTATCCTGGGTTGCCAAATATTCCAGTTATTCTTCATGAAGCCATTTGGCTACTCCCTCCATTTCCTTTTCAGAACATGAGTCTTTTGCCAGAACATCTGCAGAGCCCTGATCTGCAGCCTGTTTGGAATGACTGGCTCTCTGAAAATGCTGGTAGGATCTCTTGCGTAAAGAAAAGTGACTTTGCAAATCAGATACCAGCCAGGGAAGGCTAACACATGCATCCAGTATCCAGTTGTGCAGTGCATTCCTTTTGTCATCATGGTCAAGTAAAGGATTTCTAGGTGCCTCAGTTCCTTCTTGTTCCTACTTTTATCTGTGAATGTGACTGTATTTTTAAGTCCTTAGGGTCAGAAACTGCTGTCACTTACATGAGTGGAATATGATGCAATATGACAGTTATATACTTTAAAATATAATATCTTGAGGATGAAACCACATCCGACATCATTAAAGAACACAGAAAAGACATGACACTTAAGTCTCTACTAAAAGATTTTCAATTTTATTACATAAATCTGTTCCTTGTGCTGCTACAACAGCAATACTCCATTAAAACACTCTCAGTATCATACACATCTATTTAAGCAGCTGGAAAAAATCTTTAAAAGGCCTAGATTGATGGCCTAAATTAAATTTATGCTGTTAATTTCAAAGTACACATTAGAGAAGAAACTTAATTTTTTCTTACCTAGTCCAGACATCTGAATTAACTGAATTAATCTATGGAAGCAGTATTCCTGCTTCTGCTGCAGCCCTCCCAGTGAAGTACATCACTGAAGTGTGACCGCATGGTGAGAAATGGCCATAAAATGTCAATGTAAAGGAGCATTATGTTAAGATTAATAAATAAATAAATAAATGAACATATCAATCAAGAATCACACTGCAAATATCAGTGTTCTTTCACATAAAGTATCGACTGTAAGTGTAATACCATTGCCATGCTTCAGAAACCATGTACATCACTTCATGACTCTTTCAGTACCCCCTTGCTGAACGAAAACCTGTACTGAAAAAATTCCATAGTTACAGATAATGATGCAAACAAATATAGACATGTGGATTCAAAATTAATTATTCCAATTCAAAACAAACAAACAAAAAACAACGGAAAAAGACTGAAAAAAAAAAAAAGCTTGATAAATTCAAAAGGAATACTTTTCACACTATGTGTGTCTATGAGCCCATCAGCTTTGATCCAACAAGAAGCTGTGGAGGGGAAATCTAACAAGATCCAAGAAGGGACTGGATTGATAGGATTTTTTTCTTTTAATTAACAAAAGTAAATAGCTGCAAAGGAACACCCTAATATTTAAAGTTTGAACATAATTATATTATATGTATATTAGGCTAAGACCTCAGACTTGGGTAGACTATATTTGCCAACTGCATATTTGTACAGTATCTTATGAAACACCTTAGCGTTACAGGGAATTGGACATATCATCACCTTGATCCTCAGAGCAAGATCTGTAACCCTGCTAGAAGGCTGAGCTGATATCCAGGCTTAAAGATAACCTATCAGAGATGAAATCAGAACACACAGGGTCAAGGGACAGTGACACTTTCAGTGTCCTTGCCTCCTTAAGTTGCAAGATTCAGGCTTTTTCCCTTCTGGGAATGATTTCTGCTGACTATCCAGCTATTTTTAATTTACATAATATTGATGAAATTGTTTACATAAAACAAATTCATTGTGTTTTTTGATGAATTTTGTAAATACTACTTAGATACCATAATGTACTTGTGTCTCGTGTAAGTCCCTACCCTTGTTACTCGTTAATGAAAAAGCAATGGTTCATTAGAGAAAGTGGGTGACTTTACCAGTCTTCAAGTATCAACCAACTAGAATTTTCAGTTATTTTTCAGTTATGTTGGTGATTTCAAGTCAGCTTAGCTTGCCTCAGTTTTCCTTATAATACATGCAGAAACAAAGTTAGGCAATACTAATGTTATCTACCTAGTAATAATATATTTGAATTGCAGCTACATGGTCTTCATTAATCATCCCTGCACTTAACAGATACAGTCCCACCTCTAGAGACTAGACTCAGCAACCTAAATTTTCAAAGGCGGGTAACAAATGATATAAGAATATGTGTGCAAGCTGCACATTTAAAATTTAAATTAGTTTAGTCTTTATTATTGGTATCCCAGTTTGTGCAAGAAAAAAATATAATAGGATCATATCTGTTTTTCATTAAAAGGAAAATATGGTAGTAACTTAACAGAAAGGGTATAAAAGTACATAAATTAATTTTAAATACTACATATTATTGCATTCCTTTCTTTCTGCACTGTAAATAATTTCTTTGGTCATTGTTTGGGACAGAATGTAAGCTGTAGGAAGGCCAAGGATTAAAGCAGTTGGCTACCACCACTTCTGAACCTATGAGAAAGAATGTGGCCCCTGGACCATTTCTACCTGTTAAAAGGCTTTTTGGGTGAAGTTTCAGGCTTTTAGTTCTCCTTGTGCCAAATGCCCAGTGGATTTGAATGGCTAGAGAGAGCCGCACTCAAAAGAAGCTGGCATAATCCAGGTACCTGGTACATTTAGGTTGCCAGTGAAGCAACAATTTTAAATTAAATTAAGATGATTACACCCTGTAAAAATGTATTCACAGATTCTGAAATTGTATTTTACTTAATGCTACATGTTTCACCAAGAGCTATCATACACCCACTTGCCTCCCTGGTCTCATTTTCTGATACTTTAACAAAACAGTCTTTACACCGTGAACATTATTTGAAAAACATTTTATACAACATCAGCCATGAAAACAGCATCATCATTACTTACACAGTGCTGGGAGGAAAAATGACAGCTCACATACTACTGCATACAGGTTAAATATGAAATCAATTCACATTATTTACATGCTTTTAAAACTTGTTCCATTTTAACTCAAACAACTTTGGACTAAGAGCTTCTGCAAAATTTACTGCTGACTGGTTTTACATTGTTTTTAAAAATAGAACACTTCCTTAACTTTATGATCTGAGCATGTTTTTCTTATATTGCTGCTAAACAAATAAAATAAATTAATTATCAAGAGCTCAGAAAAAAAAGAGAGCTGGCTAGGATGAAATTGTTGTTAATAACGAAGCTGTAGAAAGATGGCTGTCTCAGAGAGTCCATTAAACTTTCATTTCAAATCCATCATATGACGGGTCTAAAAAAGGCCTTCCCCATAAAAAGGGAAAATGTGCCTCTTTTATGTTTTGATCACTCTGCATCTACCACCTCAACTCTGCCCCCTGAAGAATTTTTATGGTGCTAATATTTTTAGTCAAAGCATGAAAGATTATAAAAAGCTTCATAGTTAATTCCTCAAGAGGAATTCCTCATACAGTCTGTAGCTGGTTTCATCTATCTGTCATCCTCGGATCAGCTTCTTCACTAAAACTGTGTTGTTTACAGCAGCCTTCATTAATGTTTTGCACTAGAGATATGGAATATTTCAAGATAGAAATTCTGACCAACACTTCTGATTGTGCTACAATTCTGTGGCAAAATCTCAACAAGCCACATATTAAGACTTGTATATCAAGTATGTGAAGAGCACTAATTAACTTTCTACGATTCAGCATACAGCTCTCCTTTTACAGATGTTTTACAGCTTCTGTCTTCCTCTTTAACAATTCTATACAGCCTCCCATACAACTCAGAAAAAAAATGGTGAAAGATAACTTAAGTCAAAGGTAGCTAATGCAGGGATGCAACAGAGTGAAATTCTGAATACAGTGAACTCGCATCCACTTTCAAGGTCAGTATTTCAGGAGAGAAGTTATGTTTGATGGTTTATAAGAGTAGCTTTTGTAACCCTAGTTTAAACTATATCACTGCAATCAGAAAATTAAATAATGTCTCTACTACTTTAAAGATAGTTCTGTGACAACAGTTCCCTTCCATTGTGTTTTTCAGTTGTGCTAGTTTTCTCACTTCTAGCTCACAACATGCTCCAGCTCCTGAATGCTGGTCAATACTTCACACTCAGGTAAATGGAAAAACACCAACAAAGTTTTTAACACTCAGAACTATAAAAATACCCGAAGATATGAACTTAGTATATATCAAAGCCAGGCTACAAGTAAAAGGATCTTGATATTATTATTGTGAAAAACATGATCAAGCCTGTATCAAACTTTCTATAAAACTTTTAAGTACATAACAGTAATTTAAGAAACTTACACTGGATAAAAATGCACTGCTCCTTACCATTTACTAACCCTGTTAGTTGCTCTGGCATCAATCAGTCACTCTTCCTCCTTTCCCTTCAGCTGTAGCAAATTTACCAG